CTTCATTTATCTTTTCAATTTGTTTGGTTATCTTGGCACAGCTGTGTGTGACTCCCTCTGGTACACTGGTATGTGTTTTCCTAATGTAGAGAGCATTGATTAATTGATAAACTACACACTGACTCTAGATCCTGACCAAATCCTTTTTTGTTGATCAAATGTTTTTCAAAAATGTATTGTATATTATATAACAGCTGCACTTCACAGACCGGAGTCTCTGCTACTGTGGACCACGAAGGAGGCGATCATCATCCCCATCCCCAAAGACCCTGCATGGCATGGAAATCTCCTCCTGGAACAATTCTACACCCAGCATCCCTGTGTTGTCCAGTAGAGAGGAGGACATTTAAATAAACATACTCTGAACACCCTCGGACTCTGCGTTGTGTTTCGTATGTGTGATGGGTGTATGCAAGGGGAGGAAACAGGACACAGCAGATTTGGATTGTGGTGGAGATGCTGAGCAGTTATTTAATTGTTGCATGTAATTATTATTATACTGCGTGCTTCTTAGTTATTCCATCTTTTGCTGTAACATGGATCTGTATGTAACTCTATATTTACTTGTTATCTACCACACTTCCTTCTACATCATACACCATCATTATACATGATGGTGTATATAGGATATATATATTTGTAAACATATCTGTAAATTGTATAATTTTATTTTTCGTATTTGGGATTGTTGGAAACGTCTTTTTTGATCTCTGTCTATAAACACAAACTGAGTAAGATTGGCAATAAATTTGACTTTGAAAAATATATATATTCTTTATGAAAATAGTTGACTGTCAAATGAACTACGCCTTTAAATCTTTACGGACTGTTTTTCAGTGGGTTAGTGGAGTTAGTAGTTTTCAGTTCCCTGGACTGATTAACAGCTAAGCTCCCTTTCTCTTTTGACCACTCAAATACACTTGGCCCTTTCTCTTTTCCATGTGGAAAATGGCAGCTGCATATTCTGCTTTTCTCATCTGGCTCCCTGTCTGCTCGTCTACAATGAGACAATTATATAATTAATTACTAATAATCATTTAAACCTGTTATTACCAATATTTCACAAATTCTTCATGTAAACTTAAGAGCACAGCTGTATGTTGAGTGTCAACTTTGCTTGGTTCATCTTACTGGGGGGCAGCTACATGGATGTCGGTGCAGTCCACAATAATTTTGCAGTTGAAGGCAGAATGAATTTATTATTGACTCAGAATGAAGCACAACTTCATGTCATACAATACATTGACTTTATTTGTAATTGTGTAAAAAAGTATGAGCATTGATTAGCAAGCAGGACCTGCAGGAACAGAGAATGGTGATGGATGGAGCTGGGAAGAGAGAAGAATAAAGAAAACAGATCAACTTTATTATCGGATATTAAAAATTCAATTTCAAAACAAGTTGCCGCTCCTACAGTTTTCTAGTATGTAAAGATGATTTCACATGACCAATGCAAAATATCACACTCAATACATGTGTGTCTCTGGGGGGTGCATTGTGCCTTTGATGTATATAAATAATATACCATAACCAAATACTATTACGTACAGTGGAAATCAGGTTGCCAGAGCAGGTCAGTCCAGTGTGCATGTTCCTCAGGATCTCAGCAGTTACAGGTGAGGTAAAGAAAATAAAAGAGAAAAAGGTCAGTAACAACACTTTAAAGTAACAACACTGAATAATTATCTCTTTTAATAATTTTCTCTCAGTAATCACTCAACTACTGTCTTTCCAACAAACAGATTGACTCACTCTCACTATCATCACAATGAAACACGTCCAGAAGAATGTCATGCAAAGCTGCCTGCCTTCCTTCCTTCGACTCTCCCTGAACTGCCTGATCTTTTAATGGTCAATGTTAACCATTTGTGCAGATAGCATTAAGTACAAAAGATCGTTGATGCTAATGTGGCGTTAGCCTACCTCCCGCCCCTTTATTACCTGGTGGAGGGGGCTACTCTTCAAATGTTTCACAAAATACTTACCATCATGACTACTCTTACTGTTTAACATTTTGGTTTACTTCATGTTAAGGCTATACAAATGACAAGGCTAAGTAATGTAATTAATGCTAACTAACGTGCTCGCCTACTAGCTACAGTGATGCAAACACAGCTTATGGTGAGAAAAGAGAGAACTATCGAAGCAGGGAAAGACGCGTGATAGATTCATGGGCTGGTCTAGGCACTGACCCTTCACAGTCAGATATCGTTGACAAATGTTACAAGGTCTGACCTTACACTAAAATTCGGCTATTTTCAAAAGCTTTTTGTAGTTATCTGGTGCTCGTCCAATTTCATTTTAAACAGAACGTTCAAACAAAAAGAATAACCAAATCTAAATTTTGGATTGTTCTGAACGAAATCTTAGTAAGGCTCCCATTCTCATACAAGTGTGAGTGCTGACCTTGACTGAAGATAGTCCTTGAGCGATCTTCGGGACAGCAATCTGTAATTACTTTTGCAGTAAGGAAGCCTCCTTATTATTACCTGTAATTTGAAAAGTCGAGCTTGGTAATGTATGGCACCGGCTTGCCAGAATAAGGCATAGCAACAACAACTGTGAGCTGCAAGCGCGCCAGTCACGTGAGGCAGAGGCATCATGGCTCCTCCCTGTGGCTTCGGTTCATGGCGTTGTATGATGAGACCAGCGAGCCTAATATAATATATACGTGAAAATTATTTAGGAAGTATGGATTGCTGAGGATAAATGTAATAACATGAGAGTCTACAAACAGTCATTGTGACATTACAGAGAATGGTAACAGGGTCATACGCTTAGTGCCGCGCCTCCAGCCAGTTTCTGTAGGGCTGACGCATTCGAGGTGAGGCCCGAGCCATCTGTGCCTCACCTCACCCACAGTAATGTCTTGAGCGCGCCTCTAAAACGGATAAGGTCCCGCGTGAACATTAGTGCCCAGTGCTCCATGCCAGGTTACTGTGGCTTACGTGAGGCAGAGGTCGTCCCTGCCTCACTTGTCATCAGCTACCCGTAGTGTGTTAGCGGAGCTCGGGAAATTTGCTGATTTTGACTTTAAAAAGCTGATTTGGAATCATACATAAACACATTTACAACACAGATCAGTGGAAAACATTTTGATTATTATTACTATTTAGTTTTCTTTAGTTGTTTTTCATTACATGGGAGTATGACAGGCTGTTAACCTGATATGTTTGGTCCTGGTCCTTTCACCAGACGGGAGCTGATAGAACGAGCAAAGTGGATATGATCCTTTTTGTGATACAACTGGTACAAGCACACAGGCATCTTTGTTAAAAAAAAAAGGTGAATTTTTTGGAGCATATCTCTTAATATTATTGGAATGGAATAAATCAGTTATGAGATCTTCTTCTTCTTCTTCGTTCTCTTGATTTATGAGAATCTTCTTCTTCTTCTTTGCTTTAATGCGAGTCGCAACCGTCTTGGAGCATATCTAGACCCTCCAGAAAAACGCTGGGGCAAACAATCTTGATTATGCGGGTAATCCTTGATTATGCTGGGCTAAAATCTTGATTATGCGATTAAATATGCGGGGTTTATGGTTGATTTTATGCCGGTTGGAATGCGGGGAGTTGCGAAATATGCGGATAAGTTGCGAAGATATGCGGGGAAAAGAATAAACAATTTTTAAATATTGGCTTCTTATTTTATTTTCTCTCACACACAACCTGCACTAACGTTTAACCCTTTTAACTATTCAATTAAACACATTCAATGTTTATTATTGTAAATAGCAATTTGGGCTATTTTAATCTCACACACACACACCCAATACACAATCACCACACACACAACACACCACACACACCACACACACAACACC